CCCCCACCCCCCCACCCCCCCCCGCGTTTTGGGGCTGTAAGGGAGAAAGGAAGAGGGTTTTCACCCTCTCCGCCTTCGGCAACCATCCAACACGCCCCCCAAGGTCGGCGGACTCCTAGTATCCCCCTTAATAGCCCCTATAGTAGTCCCCTATAGAATCCCTATTTAACCCCTTAAAGGAGTTTAGGCTATAGTACATATGGCCAGTGCCTATTTCTGCAAAGGTCCAGAAGCAGGGCTGAAAGGCCAACTACAAGCAGCGATCATGTCTAAGACTGTCTTGTGGGGTTGGGAAGGTTTTCTTTGACCATTGGTTGCCAGGCTGCCCAGATGCAAGCCTGCAGTACATGCCATGCAGAGCAAGATACAGTATTCAAGTTTTATGGCTTAAGATTCACTGTGCGGCCATTAGGAAACAAGACTCCAAGCCTTAATTTCTTTTGCGTAGATTGCTGCGTTTGGCTTGGGCATATTTTTTTTGGAAGGGGATTTGCAAAGCTAAGTTCCTACTGCAAATCAAGCCAGGAGCTTCGCTTTGTTGGTAGTACGAGTAACCTCTCGCTATACGAAGTCCACCCCCTATACCATTGAAATCTCCCTCTTTCAGATTTTATGTCATGGAAGACATATCTGATTTTCGGGGGTGGGGGGGTGGTTCATATTAGGGCGAGGTGATTGCTGACCTTGTGATCGGGACGGGCTTACGATCTGGGGCAGTACACAAGAGCTTGGCAGCATCAATACCATCGGCACTTTCACTTTGGTTATCCTGCTCATGGTCGTTTTGTCAGAATGTTTTTGTTTCTATTAGGACTGTTGGGACCATCGCCTCACATAGCATCATTGATTTGGCTAAGGGGTTGGTAAAGCAGTTGGAAATCACGGCCTCCAGGATGATTGCAAGGAAAGTTATTTTCTGAAAGCGATAGGAAGTTTCGGCAGCACTCAAACCACATATGAAGCCCAGCACCACCCAAAGATGGAAAATATACAAGTCAACATAAACATGATTAAGGTCGACCCCCGGACGCACAGTACGACTTTCAAGTTTTGTTCTGCCCCAGCTGCTCCAATTTGGGCGATAAGACGCATTCTTGGAGTAACCTAAGTGGAGGCTTTCTTGACTTTTGATCATCTTCTTGGTCATAGCGCTTATGACGCTGCTAGTCGGACTCGGTGGGGATGGAAGGTACCGAAGCCTCCAAACAAGGCTTGAATCCAATGGACACGGAAAGGGTTTGGCGACTTGGAGCTAGCTTTTTTTCTGGGGTTCAATTGGGGTCTCCTCAAAGCATGGGTATCCTGAGGGACCACAGGGACATGCGGCATGATAAAGACATTATGGGGGTCCTTCTTATAAAGGTAATGTATGGAGGACCTGGGGGAGATTTCCCCCAGTTTACGGCCCAATCTTCTGGAGGTTGTTTGTCAGGTGTGGCCAGATGAGTACACCTTGTGGGCTAAGTGGATTTATCCTGAGACCACCGCGACAACTGCCAGAGCCCTTGTTTGAGACATGGCCCATCCGGGCCTGACACATGACTCGGCAAAAAATGTATATCGCCATGCGCCCACTTGATTATCTCAAGCTTTTCGGTTGCGGCTGTAGGTTAACAATACAAGGCGCAAAAGTTTCACGTTATGTTGTTGTTCATTTTTTGTGCTGTGTGTTTGTGTCATGCCCGTTGTTGCTGCTTTTGGCCTGTTCCATATCCGCCGCGAGAAGCTTGAAGCTAGACATGGACGTGTCAAGTTGATAGCCCTGGAGGGTTGGTTTATCAGAGATTCTGCAGACCCGTGATGCCCGTAAATGCGCGTATGCAATTAAACACTTGTACAACATGGGCGTTGCAAAGGCACACGGGATGTTATTCAAATCTACGTAGCATGGGCAGATCGTTGGTTTTGACAGGAGTCCTAATTGCTATTGTGCGTTTACAGTAGTGAAGCTGGCATCGTTTTTGTTCGTGCATGAAGCACACCCATTGCCAGTGTCATTCCACAAAATGAGGTGGAAATCGGCGAAGGCGTTCTCAAAGACATGTTTCGCAGGCCAGAAACTTTGCTGGTTGGGGGCGGGTGGGTGTAGGATGGAGAGCATGGCTGTTCGCCGGGCGCACGTTGAAGTTTAAAGCTTTGTTCGATGTTTGGTAATTAAGCCAGCGCTTTCGAAGACACTCTGCCGTGCTGGTTGGCAGATCTTGAACGCAATCCGCTGATCATTTTCCAAGAATTGTTACGAGCTTTGGATTTCCCCTGAAACCTCTGCAAAGCTCTTGGTGTAAGCAGCCGGATCCGAATTGGTGTGGGCAGTGGGTGGGCAGCTGGCAAAGGTTCAAGGGTAGGAGGTGGAGGAGTCATTTGTTCCATGGCAGATGAAGTTGTTGCATATCCAAATGGGTTGTTCTCAAAATAAAGGGCCCCTTTTGGGTACATATTGTAATACGGCACCTAATATTTCGGGATGCCAAAATGGGACCCTAATTGCGGGGACTACCCAAATTATGGGCAGGCTAAACGACATCCTTCTGGGCTGGATGAACTCTTGGGCTCTGCGTTTAGTATTGAACGCTAGCATGGTTGAAGGTAGGCGTTGTGTCCGTGCAATTCATAGTTGTTCCACGGATCTTGGAAGTCATAGGGCCTTGCGAATGTTGAAACATTCCACAAATTACCAAGACAAAGCCGTCACATGTTTGTCGAGCCTTTAGAAGTGTTTCTTCGCAACCCCCCTGGGTCCAAGAACGGTCCAGCCCCTAGATCGCTAATTCTATCGGAGTTTGAAAGCAATCACTTGTCATTTGTAGTTCTCTATCCTTGAGAATCATTTTCGTTAACAAAGGCGCTGTCCAAAATAGTTTCCCATTGGCTGTCACCCTTTATGGAACCTCCATACTGCAATAATGCTACAGTACAAAGAAATGGGACCTAATGTCATTGGTTTAGGGTGTAGGGTGGTGGGCTGGGTTGCGCTGGGACCATGATCTACGGTTGAGCACGTTGAGACGGACTGATTGAACGTTTATCTGATGTTGGTTTGAAGTTCCTTTTCTTGTGAAGTGAAGGGTTCTGGGGTTGCTGCATTGCGGTAGCACGCCCAGACTTAAGCCCAAAAAATTGTTGTTCATTCTCCAGGGCCACTGGACATCCGCCTATGATCTTACGAGCACTACATTCAGCACCCGCATTTGACTGCAAAGAAGCTTGACATAGTCTTCATGTTGGTGAAAACGATGTAGAAGAAACGCATGTGTGCCGTTTTTGATCAAGCCGGATGCAGTTGCGCAAGTCAGCGCGCCTTGTCTTGATGGAAGGGGTTTCTGCAGGTTATCCTTCTTCAACAGTAGTCATGTAATTCGAACACCAAGGGTCCTCTTCATCATGACGCTTTCCTAATTTTTCAATGTTTTACAGTCGGGGATTGGGGATTTGGGGTGATGTTCCGCGTTCAAATTCAAGACTTAGGTCCGTCGATCTCCAAGTACGTGAGCATTCCAAGTTGAACCTTGCTAGGACTTCGCGCTTAGGGTTTAAGAGTCTAGGGTGTTTGGGGTTGTGGGTTGGTTGCGGAAGTGACAGAGGCTTCAAGTTGTCGACAGCAATGCAAATGCAGACCTTTGGCAAACAGACTGCTGGGCATGAGAATAGGGATCCTCTTCATGTTCGCAGAAAACTATAGTCCTTCCTTCCTTGGAGATTCAAGGGATTCATTATTACTGTGTTTATAATGACGTTGTTTCTCATTGGCGCCTATACTGGGCCATGTTCAAGGGTTAATTGGGGTTCTGAACCCCAGTTTCATGGAGTTATCCTTTCAAGTTACTGGAATTCATGAACCTCCATGAGAGATCGGGATTCTGAAGCCCAAAGCCCCGCACCCTAGTCCCTACACTCTGAACCCTATGTCCTTTCAACCTTCATCCACGCTACCCCCTTGTCTCTACAACCTAAAACCCGAATCCCGTAGGTGCCGCTGACTGGCGCTCAGAAGGTGGCATGCTGCGAATTCTCACTTTGGCGTGTGCCAGCGCTGTTGCTGCGTATACGTTAGGCAGAGGATTTTGGGGTGGCGTAGGAATCTAGACTTAGGGTTCTGAGGGTTTAAAATCTAGGGATCTAGGGTCATGTTTTGGGGAAGAGACCAGGATCTTTGTTTGCTTCTTCAACAGTAGGCAAGAAGGGAAAAGTATCGAGGTTGGGCATGGAGCACTTTGCGACAGAGTGCTGGATGACCCCCGCATCTTAGCTGGAGTGCTTTTCGTTGGATGGCTGGGGAAGGAGTATTCATGATTGTAAGTAGATACGGATAGCACAATGGATGTGGTACATCCTATTGTGCAGGACGTCCAACAACACTAGCAAGACCAGCAACGCAATCCTTTTGGCAGGTGGGCATAATTCGGAATTGCTCCTAGACACTAATCCTTCAGGTGGACCTGAATGATCTCTGTGTCATTCCTCTTTATCCCTAGGTTCGCTGGGACCCCCCTCACTTTGAAGAAGCCCCGTCTCTAGATTTCATAATGTTTTCAGGGCTACAATCTCGACATCTTGCACTATGACCGTTTCCATTACTGGGTCAAGGTCAGAGTTTGTTTGTTTATTTGTTTGTCGGGGCAACCCCCTCAGGTCAGGAGGTCTTCATTCAGGCTTCAGGTACCTTTTGAGCACTTCACTCCTCTTTCCTCTGCTCCTGGTCCGCGGTCATTTTTTCCGGTTGGGGCTGTTTCTTTCAGGTTCCAATTTGCTTTTCGGGCATGGCTCTCCCCACCTGGGTTGCTGCCGGCGCTCATGAGAAGTGCATGGCTTTCCTTACGTAAATAGAAGTGCCCGCCCCAGGATGGATTTCTATTCCTTGTTAGGGTAGTCAGGATTCAGATGTTTGAGAGCTGCCATATGGTAGTTCCCTTAAACAGGGGACCCCAGTTTGTCTTAGACCACAAAATATCATAATCCTTATTATAGGGACCCCGCCCCCAAATTTTGGGAAACCCCCATATCCTGGGCACCGCTCAAGGCCAGGGTTTTAAGCGTAAGGTTTTGGTTCTGCTTCCTGCACAATCCCACATGGCCTTCGATCACTCGTCCTTGCGCGATCCCGACAAAATATTTGCGTACCCCGCAAGAAAAAATGATACTTGGAGCTCCATGGTTCCTGTATTTATAATGCAATAATAGTAATAGAAGGGAACTTAGAGAGTTTATAACGGTGCTCGAAGTACAGTTTTTAGTAGGTACTAAACCCTACATGCGAGTATATCCTTGCAGGCCACGTGCTTTCATTTTCATGTTCTGTTGATTTCCCGTTTAAACTTTTAGTTGATTCTAAATTGCTGGGGTAAACCCTAAAACTCAAGCCCTAAAGGCTAACAAGACAATATATGCCCCGATAACCCCAATATATACCCTAATATACTAGAGTAGATTCCATTTTTGTGTCCAGTATCCAGGATTTGACAATTGTAATGATAGTACTACTAGTAATGACAGCAAAAATAGAAAGCCCTAAACCTTGGGTCATTCCCCCACCCAGTAACTGTCCTTAAATGGGGCCTTATTAAGGGGCTATTATAACTCCTATTACCCCTTGTGGTAACTGTTACTGTAAGGGGGAATGACCCAAGGTATAGGGTTTAGCTTAGACTTGTGGAGCGCTGCTTCAATCATATTTTCCCTCAATAGGGGACCCCAATATAGA